CCTTCCCTGAGATTGCTTTTGGCAGGCCCCCGGGGGGGCTCCTGGTGGCCCAGCAGTTATCAGAGGAGCACAGCTCTCCCTACCCGCCGCTGGTGTCGTGCCGGTAGCAATGAGCAGCGCCGGCACAGCCTTTTGTCACTTGTCAGCTTTGCAAATCTCACTCCAAACCAGCTATCTGCAAATATGCAAAGCTGGGAATGTGCTTGAAATGTACTTTGAAGGAATGTTAACAGACTGCATGCATCATTTATATTGGTGAAGTGTGGACTCTAGATCCCCCGAATAAACAAAGTGATTAATCTAGTGTTAAATCTTAATTTACACTCTCAGCCTATGAGTTTCCCAAACTGCTTCAGTAACTCAATAAGCACTGTATAATTTAAAAACCAGCAGTTGTCACATAACCTAATAATACTATTCCAGCCTGCTGCTGTTCAAGCTATTCAAGAAAATACACCAACCCAGGATTAAAGCTGTATTTCTTGCTTAAGCTTTAGCGTGCTGCAAATACTGCATTAAATCGAAGTCCATGAAAGAGTAACTGGTGAATATGGAGGCAACACTGGAAAATGCAGCAGTCTTGATTAAAAATGGTTAATTTTACCCCATTGAGTAACTTCTGTTGCTAATGACAGGATATAGTTATAAGTGATTTGACTTTTTTCTTAGGTAAGTAGCTCAGGTTATGGTAAGGCCTGATCCTGCAATGCATTATTTGTGCAAGTGATTCAGTGGTTAATAGCTTTGGGTGAATAAATTTTCAGTAAATTCCTATAATAATTCACTGTGAGAGTTAAACTGCAGCAAAACATTAAATAAAAGTTAACAGTGTGGCCACTAAGATTTTACATATATACATATACATATATAATATATATATATATACAATGCTTATGTTCATCCCCAAGAACAGCCTGGAAGCCACTTGGAAATTTTCCTGTGTTACTGGAAAACACACAGCAAAATTAGTTATAAAATGCTGGAAATGATTATAACTTTTGTCCTTCTTAACTTCTTATATTGTTCAAGAAAGACAGTAACAAGTAAATGCAATCTTTTCCTAAGCTTTTTAAAGTAAAAGGTAACTGGTAACACTCAAAAAAATAATTAAACTCTGTGATTCAAGTACACACTGTCATTACAATGCAGATGATTAAATGAGTGCATGCAACTTCAGCTCAAATTGAGAATGCAAATTACCATTTTGGTAACAATTTCCAGTTAAAGAAATCCAGTGTTTCATTCGTCTTACCATTGCAGAATGAGAATGTATTAGTTCAAGTATTTTTCCTCCTTAATTCAATAATTTCACTGTTGCAAAAGTACAGTTAAACAGCCTTCTTTTACTAGCTTTAGCATTTTTATGGATTCCTCCACACAGAATAAATAACACAGTCATCAGGGCGGGCTGGCGTACATCATACATCCCAGTGGGCCAGGCAGCCTCCCCCCTCCTGGAAGACCTCTCCTTTTCACACATCTCCTTGCCAGGCTGTTGGGACTGACTTTTCCTGGAGACCCCAATCTCCCATTTGGTAGGGAAGGGGTATTTATGTAGACACCATCCAGGTTGGCTTCTTAATAAGAATTAGCCCAAGACTTTAACTCCACTGCTGTTGGTGTCTCCTCCCTGTCTGAATAGAAGCTCTTACGGGGAATGACCAGTTCTTGCACAGTAAGATGCTCGTGATTTTATTTCTGATGGCTGCAGGGTGCCACCGTCAGGGCTGTGATTTAGGAGGTCGCCAGCTGCTTCCTTCCTCCTCGGCCGTGCTGCTGCAAACCAACTGCTTCTGTAACAACTGCATAGAGATGCTTTAGATTTACACTGTGCACCTGAGATGTTGTGTTGTCCCTGATTTAGGTCTAACCCTCAAGTGTTTCTGTCTTTTATCTGCAATTTATGTGCACGTGTCTCCAGTCTTGTCAGCAGTTCAGCTGCTGAAAACACAGGTATTTTTAACTTCAGTTTAAAACATTTAATCCAATTATGGAATTGAAAATGGTTATTATTTAATGGTTATTATTTTTTTTAAGGCCTGCTTGAATTCCAGAGCTGTGCTCAGTTTTCAGCAGCACCGATGGGCAGCAGGGAGTGCTGGTGCAGGTCCTGTTGCAGGGGCTGGGATGAGTGCCTGCCCTGTGCAGAGCAGCTCTGCAAAGCTCCTGACCGGCTTCTTTGGAACAGCCTGAAAAGCTGGTGAATCGAACCAGCCCGGTATGCTTAGTAATAGACTTTCCTTAATCAACTTTTTATTGCTGAAAGCTGTAGACGATTGTGCAGGAAAAGGTAGCTTTGCGATTCCGAATAAATCATGGAGGCTCACAATTCCCTCAGCTTACATTAAAGAAAATTGATTGTTTTCTCCAGCCTGCCCGAAACAAGCAGCCTTTCTTGTCTGGCAGCTGAGCTCCGAGTGTGCTGGTATGTAGTAAATTCAGACTGATTGAACGAGACGGTTTCTCACTCGTGTTTCACCAAGACAGGGCGATGAAAGGCAGCCTCGCATTCCCGCATCTCACACCGCACTGCACCGGGCTGGGAAATCTCGGAATAAATGATGGCCCATGTTGGTGTCCCTGGGGAAGGAGGTGGGTGCTGTGACTGCAGGGGGAGAGACAAGGAAAATCAACTAAATCCAGAGGGTTGATCGAATCTTGTTCTTGTTGTTCTAGAACAACATTACAGTAACCCTCCCATTTTTGGGTACCTGCAGAAGAGCTGGGGATTGAGCGCTGGTGGGGCCACACAATGTTGTGGCATGAGCAGAGTTCCTAATTTTCCAAAAAACATTTTTTGGCTAAAGAACCAAAGAAGTCCCATGTGAAGAGCAGCGTCCCAGGCTGGGGAAAGCGCTTGAATTTCCTTGGATATCAATGTCGCCCTGGTCCTTTCAGGGGACATCGCCAACCGCCCCCCTCTCCCCACACCATGCGTGCTCTCATTGGCCACAGCAGGAGCACTTACTCAAATAAAACAGATTTTCTCCAAAAAAAAGGTTGTGTCTTTCAAAGTGCCATTGAGGGCAGGTCATCCTGGGAGTGGGACCGATTACAAGGTAGGGGACAATGCACATGGTTCATTTGGTGTTCAGTCAGGATATTTGCAATGAACTTGTAGACTTTAAGACACAGGGGCAATATAATTTGTCTCCAGGAAAGTTACTGCCATAGCTGCATGAGAAACTGTTTTTTTAAAGCTAGTGTTTTAAAAGTTTAATTCTTCATATTTTGTGTCCACTGTGAATAATAATCTTTCCTAGTGGGGGGGATTCAGATGAACAGCTTCAGAATCACTGGTGGTGAGCTGATACAATGAAAACACCCTAAATACCAGTTTTATTAAAATGTATTTCTATATGTAAGAATAATTAGTTTAGGAACAGGCTTGCCCATTGTAATTAAAACCTGTCTAATGATTCCTTGCTCTGAGCAATTTATTTTCTAAATTGATGGGTAAGGTATATTTTTTGTTAGTTATATTTTTCCTGTACTTGATGGCAAAACATCCACCTGGCTATGCAACAGGAAAGTAGTTGTTTTCAGACCCGTTGCAGAAGTGGTTTGCTTTTGTCTCTCCCCAGCAGCTGGCTGACCCTCCCAGTCCGTGGTGGTGGTTCTGTACTGGCGGTGGGGTTTGGCTGCTCTCTGCCTGCGCTGAGCTCTGCCCTCCCGCACCTGGAAGCTTCATGGTGAGGCTGGCAGGGGCTGGTTGGGATCAAATGCGAGGTTGTGACAAAAAATAGTGCCTGATGTCCCGTCCTAATCCACCTTGTATAGCGAGAAGGGATGCAATGATTACATGTGATAATTTATCTTCCTGGAGCTGGTGGGGTGAAGAATGGGACAGATGGCAGCAATGGGCAACTGTGGTCACTGGGCATTTTTTGTGGATAATGTTTGCTGTTAAATTATTTAGTCTTGTAGGGGAATTGCCTTTTTATGTAAGAACATCATGAGCTGTTCCTCTAAAACAGAATTCCTGAACATGGCAAGGTTTCAGTCCAGCCCCCAGACACCCAGCTCTGGGTGGGCCCGTCCTTTTGCCCTCTGGATGGCAAGAACAGTCAGCGTTTCTCCCGGTGGCTTTCTCATGTAATGAAGCACCTCCGCTGCTATAGGAAGGTTAGGTTACAGGTTCAGCAAGAAAGGGAGTCTGTTCTGTTTGTATTTACAGGCCGACACACGGGATTAAGAAAGAAACAAAGATGCTTTATATGACAAGTCATCTGAGAGGCGTCATCTGTCCTATAGGAAAAAAACAGGCAGTTCTTACTTTGCTCTTTTCTTTCTGGTTCAGCCAAACCACCTCTTTAAAAACTAAAAGAATGGACCTGAGAATTTACACTAAAAGAATGTGCAAGTCTGGGAACCCAGTCAGTAGCAAAGAAAAAAAATTACTTTGAAATTTTTGAATGCTTTTTTTTTTTTTTTAATGTTTGTTTCATTTATTCTTTTATAGCATACGTTTTTTATGGCGTGTGGTTGTGTTTGGCTCTGAAATCATTACTGAATTTTTCCTACTCATATGAATGGAAGAGACATCATGGTGGCAGCGATCGTGCCTCTCTCAGGGGTCCCCTGATGCCCCTGGGAGCACTTCCCGGAGCTAACAGGAGCAGCCAGATGGCAAGTGCTCTGTAGGGTGGCAGGCAGCAGGGGTGGGCAGGCAGGGGATTTTCCCAGTTTTTGCTTTACTTTCCCCATAAAAAGAGACGCTGTGTAAGGCCACCTGCCAGGCAGATGGGCCCAGCAGTGCCACAGGTCCTATGGCTTGTGTGTAGGTCAGCTGTGATGCACATGGCCGATGGTTCTCATGCTAAAAGGAAACCAGGTGATGATCTGGATTAAAAAAAATTGGAAGTATAATGAAAGGGATGCAGGGAAGAGTGCAGGAATGAAGAGGGTGAGTGCAGAACACACGGGCTCTATGGGGATAAGTGGGTGCAGAGGGTGCTGCATGCACTTCGTTATGGCCTTCCCCTTCTCCTACAGCTGCCAGCATGTGGAGCTCTCCAGTGGCCGTCCCTGTGGCCGTGATGCTGCTGGTGGCAGCCACGCAGGCAGCAGCGAAGGTCACCCCGGCGCTGAGATTCACCAAGCCGAAGCCATCCCCTCCGCCGGGCGCTGCCAACCCTTCCCTCGCCCCCCTCGTGGGAGCCCCGGGCAGAGCCCAGCTGCCCTCCATGAGCCCCGCGGTGCGGGCGGCCACCACGCTCTTCCCCTTCGAGAACGACACCCTGGACACGGCCGACTTCTTCTTCAACTGCTGCGACTGCTGTCCCCCCACCAGCGGGCCTCGGGGGCCGCCGGGGGAGCCGGGGCCTCCAGGTGCAGACCGCGATGGATCGGTTGGCTCACACCAGGCATCTCAGCACGTTGGCTGATGTCTGCAGTGCCAAAATCTAATGGTTATAACGAGCAGTGCGTTAGTCTGCAAATGCTCGCTTTGATAGCGCTGATACCGGAGCTAGGAACTGCTCAGCTGGGGAAGGCTGGCAAAAATGGGGAAATAATATTTTTTTAATACAATGTACTCAAGCGATTTGCACTTCCGTTAGCTTCCACAGCTAATAGAAGTTATATGGGCTGTGGAAGGGGTTTGCGCTCATAGGGCTGATGGAGAAGCTCTCATGTCAGATGCGTTGTGCTGGGATGGCTCCAGCTGACCGAGCCTGCCCTCAGACAGGCACCAGGAGCTTCGTGATCCTATGTGGATGGAAAAGTAAACTAAAAGAAAGCTGAAAAGAAAGCTGGCTTGCTCGCCTTTCCTTGTGCAGCATGGAGCCACCTGCAAGGTTCCTCTTGTATATTTGCAGATTTAATTCATTTTAAGGAGAGGGGCAATTACTAAGCTATGGGAGCTGCTTGGATGTGCTCAACTATTAAAGACAGATTACTTCTGATGTTTTATGAATGCCTGAGCCCCTGCAGCTTTGAGGCAGCTGAAAGTTGGTTTTAAAAAATCTTTAACTGTAGCCAAGAGCAAAAAGGAAAGCTGTACGATTTGGGGATTGCAGCAGCAAAAGACAAGGGCTGGGGAGCTGCGTGCCAGATCAGGGCATCCTCACCAATGCCAGTGGAAGCCGTGCTGTGTTGTTGTCTCTCCTTTATGCCCCCCAAGGGTTTCAGCTGCAATGCACAGAGGGCAGGGGCAGGCCAAACCTGTCTGTCTCACATTTGGTTTGCATCAGCCATATGACAGCAAATAAAATAGCCAGCTCTTACCAGGGTGATGGAAACAGGGTTGCCCTTGTTGCATCCCCTGATGGAGTGTTGCTTAGCTGTTATCACACGTTTTCTCTGTAAAGTTAAACCTCTGAGTTACTAAGATAACTTTGTTGATGTGATTACATTACAGGTCCTAAGGGGGAGAAGGGAGATGCTGGTGTGCAAGGTGTGCCGGGAACCCCGGGACCTCAAGGTCCCAAAGGCTTTAAAGGAGAAAGAGGTAAAGCAGACGAACTGCTCCTTTGGAAAACAAGTGCTGTTGTCCTCAGCAGATACCACAAAATTGTAGGAAAAAATATTTTTGCAAAGGAAGCAGATTATGCTGATATGGATTGACACCTTGCGAGATTTAGCATGGCATGAACAGAGGGACAATAACTTGGGTGGTGGTGGGGTATGTGCAGGTGGTACCGGAAAGCCATAAAGCCATCTTTATGGCTGCTCATAAAGATCCCACTCAAAACTCCTTGTTTTTGAGGAGTTTTTCCCTCATTTTGGGGCAGAAATCTGACATGAGGACGATACGGAGTTGTCTGCACGGTGGTGCTTGGTGCTGGGCAATGCAGCTGGGGGTTGTGAGGTCTGTTCTGGAAAACAAACATTGCTCCTTGTGCTCAGGGACCCATGCAAAATGGTACCAGTCACTTTCTGTGTAATGATTTCTGCGCTGCAGACAGTGTCACAAATGGCATATTAATGGTGCAATGTCCTAGGAGGCAAAGGGGAGCAAGGCGAGCGAGGAATAAGTGGAAACCCTGGTTATCCAGGCAAGCCTGGGCTGCAAGGTACGTAACACGGGCTGGGAAAGCCATGAACAGTGCGTTGGCCTGTCCCTTTGGTGCTGGTGATGGATATCCTATCCTACACTAATGGCTGTAACCTTTTCTCTGCCCCTGCTCTGTCCTAGGTGAAGCTGGAGTGAAAGGCAATAAGGGCAGCTACGGCTTCCCCGGCCTGAAGGGACAAAAGGGCTCCAAGGGGGACACTTGTGAGAATGGCACCAAAGGAGACAAGGGAGACAGGGGGGACGCCGGGGACCCGGGGGTGGATGGAGAACAGGGTGACAAAGGGGAGAAGGGGGACACGGGGGACAAGGGGTATTGTGGGGAGCCGGGGGGGAGAGGCCAAAAGGGGGAAAGAGGGGAAGGAGGGATGAAGGGAGAAAAAGGCAGCAAAGGGGAGATGGGGGCTGAGGGCATTCAGGGGGCGGAGGGAAAGCAGGGAGAAAAGGGCGAGCAGGGAAGTAAGGGTGACAAAGGGGACCTGGGACCCGCCGGTGTGACGGGACCCTCGGGGCCCAAGGGGGTGGCTGGCAGCAAGGGGGGCCGTGGGGCACCGGGCAGGAAAGGCTCCCGTGGGGCGAAGGGGGCCCGAGGGGACGCCGCGAAGCTCCTGAGATCAGCCTTCAGCGCCGGCTTGTCCAAACCCTTCCCTCCGCCCAACGTCCCCATCCGGTTTGATAAGATTCTGTACAACGACCAGGAAGATTACAACCCTTCCACCGGGAAATTCAACTGCAGCGTGCCCGGGGCGTACGTCTTCGCCTACCACCTGACGGTGAGGGGCCGCCCGGCCCGTGTCAGCCTGGTGGCCCGCAGCAGGAAGGTGGCCAAGGCCCGTGAGACGCTCTACGGGCAGGAGATCGACCAGGCCTCCTTCCTGACCGTCCTGAAGCTGAGTGCGGGCGACCAAGTATGGCTGGAGGTTGCGCGGGACTGGAACGGGGTCTACGTCAGCGCTGAGGACGACAGCGTCTTCACGGGGTTCCTCCTGTACCCAGATGTTCTTGAGATCCTGCTGTAGGTTTAGAGGGCAAAGCTGTTGCTGAGGATCATGCCTTTCCCCCCTCCCTCCAGAGGAGAAACGAGTATCAGTTCAGCGACTCTGCACTGTATTGGTTTAGTTTCTAGGTTCTGTGATTTTTCTACAAAATGTTTGTGAAAGAGGGATTTCTTTTAACTAGCAGCCCCAAGAAGCGGCACATCCTTCATGCAGGTGCTGATAACCAAGAGAATCCACTGCCCAAAGGCCTGCAGGACCAGCATGGGGAAGGGGAACCTGAGGGGGCTTCACATCATGGGCTTCAGATTTGTAACCAGCATTATCAAATTACGTGATGAAGCTCCTTATCCAACTGAAATTTTAATCAAGCCAGCTGTGGCAATCCTTGCATGGTCAAAACTCCTCTGGCCATCAGTACTGGTAACCATCGGAAGGTCACAGTTTTGACAAAGGTTGTAGAGTTTGATTCATAGAGCTTAATCCAACGCGAGCACGAGCAGTAGGTTTCTTCAAATCATGTGAAAAAATATACAAGTATTTTGTCATTGAATCAGAATTATGTAGTACTTTAGACTGGTCATGATTTTTTTTTTTCATAAAAAAAAAATAAAGCTGAGATCCCATAATTAGCATTCAGTAGCATTGGGATTTGCTCTTCTTCTTAGGCAGTCACAAGCCTGGGACGTTTTCCCAGTGATGTGATGAATGCTGGGTCTGACCCCAACACGGGCATGGAAATTGGGCTACTGTTTCCCTTGCTCCCACCTTCCTTGCTTAAATTGCCACCATGCTTGCCATATGCTATTTGAATACCACCATAAATCGTGTCCCTCATTTCTTCTTTTTCCACAGCACCAAGGTCGAGTGTTCCTGAGACTTTTTATATATGCTGAGAAAATTAACACGGGAGAACCGCTGTTAAATTTTAAGATAAAAACAAAGCAATTTTAAAAGGTTGATCCTATCTATTTGGTAAATGCAAAGGGTGCTTCAACTCATCAGCTTCTCAGCCCCACTTCAACATCAGCAATTCAAATATGAGATGAACCAGCTTTGTCAAAGAGTTGATACTTAATTCGGTGCTTAATCTGAGTTAGCTCCTATGTGATTCAAATTCAGAGTACCAAGTATATAAAAGATGCAGATTTCAGTTTATGAATTCCCTGGCAGCTGTTGAATATTGAGGAAAAACAACAAGTTATAATAATAATTTCAGATTCCTGCTGTCACAACACCCTTAATTCTTTTGTTGTGCCTTCATGCTGCTTCTCCTACAGTCCCTGTAACAGATGGTGGTATACGGACATCTGACTAGCAATTTTCTCCTCTCCTGCTGAAGTTTCTTACACTTTCTATATAAATAACCTCTACAAATGCTCCTGAGAAAGCAATGCAAAAATGTGGGGTCTCACAAGAACCTGCTCAGATCTAATCCTCTCCATAAATTAATTGCTTGGCTGTCAGGGGAAAAGAAGAGCTGGCAGCACCACACAAGCTGGAAGAGCTCCTGCTTCCTTACAGACATCCCTGCACAAAATATACCCAGCCATGATTAGGGGGCTCTGGGCTGCTTAAATCCTGTGGAGGTGCCCCGAGAGCAGGTTAATAGGAACAGCCGGAGACAATTCAGGCTATGCAAAGGTCTGGACTCACAGACCTTAAGGAAGGATATGGGATGCTCTTATCACAACCCCAGTCACTTCTGAGCTCCCATGATGGATATGGGAGAGCTGTAATGGCACTCTGAGCTGGCTTCTATGCTACATATATATTTTTTTGTCATTAACTTAATACCAGTGGAAGGTATTTCTGCTTGAAACCCTGACTGGGAAGGCAGAGAAGCATGCAGGACAAGCTACTGAAATATCACGCAGCTCCTTCATATGTATAAGTGTCTTAGGATCTACAGCTTTGCCAGTAGTACTTTGAATTTAAAGTGTGCTCACATCCATTCTGTGTTTATTTTGAAATAATTTCTTTTCAGATTTAATTAAGACACATTAAACAAGTATCTTGTGAAGTTGAGCCTGTGTAAAGCACAGCGAACAGTAGTTTAGATAAATATAGATCTTTGTAGAGAGGGAGTTATCTTCATCAAATATTAAATAGAATTAACAGTAATGCCTGGAAAATATTGTTTCTCTACACTGTTATCCTTTCTACTTCAGAGCCTTGGCAAAACCACACGTTGTTTGTTAGTCCTAGTACTGCTAATCAGATCAGTCCACAGCTGGGCTCATGAATTGCCCCAAATTAGTCAAAAATTTCAATGCAAACACATGCACAAACCTCCTCCTTTTACAAGCAGAGACTCCTGGGGCTTTTTTTTTTTTTTTTTTTTTTTTTTCTGTCTTCTAAAAGTTACATGAAACCTGCTGAAAGGACTTGGGGCTGTAGGACGAGCATGGAGCTGCCTGTGGGACCAGATGCTGCAGCATCCTGGCACCTCCACCTGCTCAGGTAGTGTCCCTGAGCAAATCTGGCTGCAAAACCTAACTCAAGCCTTTAATTCTCTCTCTCCATATTTTTTTTTTCCTCTCTCTCTCTCCATATATATTTTTTTTTAACCATGGCATTTGCAGTCTCCCTGCTGTGGGGTGCTCTGGTGAAGCATTCTGCTCCAAGCAGCTCTTAACTGAAGCAAACTGTTCTGGGGGAAAGTTTTGGAGAATTAAAAATTCCCTCATTTTCATATGGCTTTCCTCATTTTTCACGCCATGTCAGAACAACAGTGAGTGAATTGATTGAGGAGGTACTTTGTCTCATTGCACGCCGTGGCTACAAATGCCAAAATATTTGTTCCGTTTCACTTGTGCTTCTACTTAGTATAGATTTATTTTGTGAAACTAAGTGTTTCCTGTCTGTGTTGCAATGAAGCAGTCTGACACTGGTATAAGAGAAAATAAATGCTCATTGTGCTAATCAAAGAGCAGCTGTTTTCAATAACTAAGAAAAATTATTCCAAACTGACATAAGGACATAAAAAGCAGCTGCTTCTTTAATGAGGATCTTGAGGGCTAAATCTACAGAGGAACTTGGGTACCTCGATAGCAAAAATGTCCCTGAGCCCCGTGTTAGACAAGCAAGGCCTCCATATAAAGCCTGGGAGGGGTGAGGGATACCAGATGGAGGATGGGAGGCGCTCTGCAGCGGTCGTGACTTGCTGCAAAATTCTTCTTAACATCCAAAAGCAGCGTGTGCTGATGGGAAGGAAAATCACTCCTGATACTTTGATAAAGACCCTATCTGGTGCAGCTTTGCTTTATGCCTATCAGTTTCATCCCCAGGCCCATGAAGTGTCCGGCGTGGTGTCAGGCCAGAGCTGAACTTGCCCTTGCGTGGCGCAGGTGCTACAAGACGCACCCACAGTACAAACCTGGGTCGATGCCCACCTCCCCTCTGGATCTTTCCTTGCCTTTCCATCCCCATCTCTGAGGTTACACAAATGCCATAATATTAACTCAATTTCTGTAACTGTGTTGGCAGGGCTGCGGGTTTTGCCCAGAGGAATGCTGGAGGCAGTGTCCTACAGGGAGCAGCTTGGCTCTCCTGGTGCTTCTTGCTCATGGTTTTTGGATTTCCAGGTGCTAGTGCTTGTGAGCAGCTGGGCTTGCTTTCAAGCCTCTTACTTTGTTCACCTGTTGAGCTGGGCTTGCCCCAGAGCGAGGGCCACCTGCAGAGCCTTAGGGTTGCTGTGCTGGTTGATAAAAGGGATAATGTGGCTTGGGTGGAAGGCTTTGGGATGGTGTTTTTGGGTGGCAGAAAGCACCCAAAAAAGGAAGGCGCTTGGTTGGGTCTTCCCCATGAGATTGATGTTTTGGGTCCTTGGCAGTAGCTAGGTAAGTAAGTGCTTGCTCTTACTGTCTGGTTTGGGTAAAAATAGATGAGTTTTAGTGACTTCAAGACAGGAATTCATAATAGGTTTGGAAATACAATATAATAATCCCGCTTCAGGTATTTTAGTTGAAATATATCTCACCTTTTCTTTGGAGACATGTAACTTTGCTGGTATCTGCTTGGTTGTGGAAAGAATCCCTTTTGGAAGGAGAAAATATGCCTTTCAATGTGAATTAAAATGGATTATAGTGTGATCACTGCCAGTTATCTAGCATGCTTGTAAAATGCTGGAGCTTCTTAATAGAGGATATCTATCAAGCTGTGTGTAGGCTGATATTGTTTTCTAGATATAGCCACCATTATTTATTCACAGTAAGAGCTCTATCACAGTTTTATGTGCCCTATCTGCAAAGCTGTACCTCTGAGACTCGGGTTTCAGAAGTATTATGTGAGATTGTTTCAGAATGGTGCGATGCAATGATTTAATTTCAGGACGGAATGTGGTTACTCTTGCGTGGTGTTACAGGGTCTGGTTTAACAAGAGCTATGGTCTTCCGTAGAGGTGCCTGGACTTAGGTGTGTGTATTAAATGTTGCAAAGTCAATTTTAAGGGTAAACTCGGATCACTATGTCCAGTGTCCTGGGGTGCATCAAGCACGGCATCGCTAGTAGGTCAAGGGAGGTGATTGTCCCGCTCTACTCTGCGCTGGTGCGGCCTCACCTCGAGTACTGTGTGCAGTTCTGGGCACCACAGTATAAAAAGGACATGAAACTGTTGGAGAGTGTCCAGAGGAGGGCTACGAAGATGGTGAAAGGCCTGGAGGGGAAGACGTACGAGGAACGGCTGAGGGCACTGGGCCTGTTCAGCCTGGAGAAGAGGAGGCTGAGGGGAGACCTCATCGCAGTCTACAACTTCCTCGTAAGGGGTGTCGAGAGGCAGGAGACCTTTTCTCCATTAACACCAGCGACAGGACCCGCGGAATGGAGTTAAGCTGAGGCAGGGGAAGTTTAGGCTGGACATCAGGAAGGGTTCTTCACAGAGAGAGTGGTTGCACACTGGAACAGGCTCCCCAGGGAAGTGGTCACTGCACCGAGCCTGTCTGAATTTAAGAAGAGATTGGACTGTGCACTTAGTTTTAATGACTTTTTTGAATTGTTCTTATCTTCTTTCAGTTAATCCTTTTTGAGTGGAGACTTTCTGTCTTAATAAAGAAGATATCTGGGTATCTGGGTAAAACTCTACTTGCTGCAGTCAGACCTTTCTTTTTTTTTTTTTTTTTTTTTTTAGTTAATAAAATTTGAGGTAAAACCTCAAACTTATTTCCATAAGATAAAATTGAGGATGGATAGAAAGTGAACTGGTTTTATTCTGGCTAGTTCTTCTCAGTTCAAGCTTTGTTTTACAACCCCCAAAACAATCTGCTTGAGGCTCTTTGGACTTTGAATTGAATTAAAATTAAAATAATAATAAAAAAGGAATAAGTAATCTTAGAATTAAAGTCTTTGAGATGTCTTCATGAAACAAATATCTTGTTTGAAATTAATGAACCAGCAATGATGAGCTCCATTACAAACCATGGTGAGTTGTGTTTAAGGGAGTGTGCCTGACTCAGCTGGGCTTTGTACACCTTTAGATTGTGGTCATGTCCTAGCGAAGTAAAGTTGAGAAGTTTTTTAGGGGAAAGAAATCAAAGAGAGGGCCAGCAATAAGTAGGACTCCTGCTTCTGCTTGGTAAATGAAAATTTGGAGCTGAATTTCAAATCCCCATCATGCCTCCGGGGGATAGGGGCCAGGTGTGACTTGGTTGGGCTTATGGGCTTGGTGTTTTTAGAAATAATATACAGGAAAAAAAATGTCTTGGGATTATTTATTGCAAAGAGCATGGTGTCGTTTGAAGAGTTTACAGAATAGATTTTTGGGTAGCTGTCATGTTTCTGCTTTTTTTTTTTTTTTTTTTTTTTTTTTTTTTTTTTTATAGCAGGGACTGCAGAACGTGTTTGCTCTTGGCTCCTAGCTGTTCCTTGGCTGCTTTCCATGTCCTCCCCAGCCTGAACTGCATATGTAACACTTATGTGCATCTAATTCAGTGTTACGCTTTTAACCAAAATATTTCAGTAAACTGTTGTAATTCTATTTCTCTACCTCTCCTTGCTTTCTTGCTTTCCAGGTACTTTTTTTTTCTCCTGAGAAGGCTCTTACCCAACAGTGGCATGTTATGGTAATGGATCACTTTTCAAAGAGTTATTTTAGTGAAATATTTTACATGTCAAGGCAGTTCCAGAAGGGGGAAAAAAATATTGCTCTGCATAGTCTGCAATGAGGCTTCTATACATGCTGTGTGTGTGAGCCACCCAGCAAGTCCTTAATTGCTTCTGCTAGGAGAACCAACTTTTCCTTCCTCTCCACTAGTGATGCTGAAAAACCTGGGTTGACTTGGATGAAAATCAGAGTGTTTTTCCTAAAGTTTCTCCTTACTCCAGATTGCAGCATAGCAGCCAGGCACAGAAGGGGTAGGATGCAGTCTGAAAACTTATTTTCAGTTTCCCTTCCATGTTTCTAGTAGATGCTGTTTGGAACAGATATGTTTAACTTTTTGGCAGCCCCTCCAAGATCCTGCCGTGCCAAGCCCTATATAAATGTGGAAGGCTCCTGTTCCTGCTGCAGATTTTCTCTTTAGGTGTTTGATGGGAGATGAATCGTCTGAAACAAGAACTTTTTTGCAAAAGGGTTGGTGCACATGGACTGCTCTAGCCCAGTTCTGCTTCTTGCAGGGAGCCAGGCAGACCTCTGGGAGAGGAGGTGACCAGAGACAGCTCTGTGTTTCTTTCTCTTACACTGATCTGGTAAGAGATCAATGTAAACGTCTCCTCTAGCGAGGATTTAATTGCTCCTTTCATAGGAGGAGCTATGAGGCAGTGGGGAAACTGCTGGTGCATGCCTGGTAGAGGAAACATCCATCCTTGCTTTATTTCTAAACCTTCCCTATAGTTGCATCTTGCTCGCCTTTATTTTCTTTCTATACCTTAAGCCTACTGCTCTCCAATGGGGGGGAAAAAAAAGAAGTTATTGGTAAGTCAAAGCTACTTCTGTAGAGTTTATTGCTGCTCAGAGAAGGAGCCATGCTGAGTCACCAAGTGGAGAGAAAGGGCTGGAAAGCTGGAGTTTGCTGTGAGGGCAAGGTCATAAAAGCAAGCTTAGGGGCTGATTTTAGTTGGATTGTGGTTCAAATGAGCGATACTCTATTTTATGGTGCCCGTGTAATGCTATTCTGACATTTCTAGTCAGCTACGTAAACTTTCATTGCCCCATAACAATTTATTAAGCTAGAGGGTCTTTGCAGATATGTGGCCAGCTTAATGCAATTGTCTGCCATAATTATTCATTGGTTTGGTATCGAAAGGGTACCAACCTAGTCAATAAAGATATCTGCTTATGATCCTCACAGTCTTGGCATTTGTTCCATTTTAAAGAGTCAATAAAATGTTAGAATAAAACAATCACTTTCACAAGCTAAATTGTTGTTTTTCCATTTTGACTCTTGCCCTTTTTCTGTTGGTATTCAGCTGCATAATACAGAACAGTAAATTGGCTTTAGAGGTTTAAGATTGGGGTTACAGAGAATAACTTCATAAACACAAACTGTAAGGATTTACATTCAGAACAGCTGTGGCCCTAGAGAATGCCATGGCTGGAGGAAAAAAGTTTGCAGCTTGTTCCAGAATGTTTTTCTCTGTAGTAAGTGAAGAAACTCAATCATCAGAGGTAAGGTTGAGAGCAATGAGATGTTTCTGTTTCTTCCCATTCACAACAAATCTTACAATTTCAAGTATTTAAGTTTATGGTATCAAAACCCAATTAAAAAATGCTGTTAAACCTGACAAATCCTCTTAGAGCTTTCAGTACCTCTGTGGTATGTGGATTGCAGCTCTTGATGGCACTCCTGAAATATGCCTAGCAGGGATGGTTTGGGGGGCTTTGCTCTGGGGTTGGTTATGGTGGTCAGTCACAATAGCCCAGGTGTGTGTGATGGTTTTCTGTTTTCCTACCAAGTCCTCAAAAAACTGGAATTTGATCTGCTTCCCATGCAATGTGTTCAGTATTTAGAATACGTGGTTGCTTAGTGTGACTGCTTAAATAGGGACAATTTAGAAAACTCCCTTCCTGGTTACTGCCTTGCCCTAAAGATCAGAGAGTGTGTAATTTCTGCTCCCATGGGATTGCAGGGGCAGGTGCTGGTGCAATGCTGGTGGCTCTCATTGGCAGGGCATATGCAGTCCTGGGCATAATCTCTGGTGCCAGTTTTTCTAAACCTTCCATTTCCAGTGGATAAACTGAAGAAGATAGCCTTGTAGGATGCTTGTAGATCAAAGGGGAGGCCATTGACTCTTTTCTATTCCTCCATTGATGTTGGAGGCATTAAGTAGGGGGGTTGAGGAGCTGGGCTCAGCTTCTTGTAAGAGCTCAGCAAGGATTTTATTCATCCATAAAACGGAGCAACATTTCCCTGTCTCAGAGGTTAGCTGTGGTGTTATCTCTAGAACCATCTGGGAGGCGCTGATGTTTTAGGGAAGAGGTTGAGCAATAACCAGCAAAGCATTTTGATGCCTTCTCAGAGTGGGAACTGGGAAGGCCAAGGGGGGAAGCAAAACCTGGACATGTGCAGCCGTGGCAGCCTGAGACCAGGCAGCCTGTGCCCAGGGCTGCTCTTGTGGGTTTGTGCCAGGAGCTCTGGAAGGTTTCTGCAGGGCTAGGAGAGCTCTGGTAGATGACAGGGCAAACCTCACCCTCCATCAGCTGTCTTGTCCCCTTTAATTTAAGCAGTTCTGCTGTCAGCTCTGTAGCTCGCTTTCCTGCCTTTTTTGTATGTATCAACGTCATCTGCCTCGCTCCTCTGCTTCAGGAGATGGATCGAGGGGCTCTGATGTATGTAATGAAAGCTGATGCCTCTTAAATTGCAGAGCTGCCCTGCTTTTGATAGCTGGTGAGCAGGAGGGCAGCGGGGGCTCCCTCGGGCTCTGCCCGTTTCCCCACTGTGACAAGAGGAGCACAAACACCTGCCTGGGAGCCACGGCCGGAGCCAGATCAGAGGAAGTGAATGCCACAGATGAGAACTTTTATGAACTCTTCTGTAGTTTGTAATGGGTACTTGGGAGGCCCTAATTACACAAGAAAGCTTGGTATAGATGCAGCATTTTCACCCTTCAAGTAAAGCTCTGCTGCTTTTATGGCTTTGCAAGTGGGCTGAATGGCCTGGGAGCATCAGGGCCTGACCACGACCACCACGGCCCATGGTCCATCTGTCAGAGGACTTAGGGTCCTTCCAGCATGCCATTACCTGCTCTGCACAGTAGATTAAACTGCCCCACAAATGCAGCTGCAGGTAGCTCTTTGTGGCATGTTCCTCTGCTTTCCCACAGAAAGTGTAATTAACATGGCTGCAAATGAGCTCTTTCAGCAGTTTTCCCCACTGTCCCATAAAATGTGGAAAAATATGGGTCAGTGCATTTATTAGCTAGACCCTCTGAATGTGCACAGCTCTGTCGGCTCCTGGCACTTAGCAATAAGTCCTCTGCTCTCCCATTAAAATGCAAATTGCAGGAGAAAATGTCTTCAGGCTGGTGGGTTTCTAACTTAGCTCTTCTGGTGCTGCATGGGAAGCTAATGGGAGAATTTTTCACAATCCCCCTCATGCTGAAAGAATTGGCTGTTTGAGGCTGATATTTAATTAGTTCTGCTTCTGCTGGATAATAAATGGGGAGAAGGGAGTTGATGCATGTGTTACTTAACTTCTGCCTGCGATGATGACTTGAGGGAAAGAGCGAGCAACTATGAACTCGCCAACAGCTTGGCCAGGGCTGACACAGATGTAAGTGGAGGTTTCCATCTCTGCAGTGTGCTAAATATAACTGAAAGGTGGATGGGAATGCCTCCGATCATAAGCAAACTGCACCTTTAGACTGTTCTGCTCCTTTCATTCAGCTCTGTTCCTTGACTGATGTTGGCAAAAGGATGCTGGAGCCCCTTGCCATATAAAATGAGTGGTGCTTTGGAGAGTCCTGGTGATGAGCACTCAAATATTCACATTTATGAAGAACTAGATTTCAAATTTAAGTAACTAGAATGATGCATTTTCTTAGACCAAACAATGTCTAGTATCATGCTTGGACTGAAAATAATTTCAGAGCAAGTATTTATAATGCTTTGATACTCTTGTTCTTGGGTCACTTCCTGATACCTGTGCACCTGTGCTACCCACTCAGCACAGCTCCGTGGCAGCAGGAGGGAACAAAATACTAGAGCAGGCAGGCTGAAAGGTTGGAATATTTCTGCCTTTGCTCAGGACAAAAGCTTGGGTTTCCTTGTCTGTGCAGCCTGCCTCTCTTACTCTGATTTCCAGTGTTCAAGCTCCCAAAGTCCTTAGGCAGCCAACTGTATATGATTTAAGAGAGAATTTCAAGAGTTCCTCTTAATAGAGAAAGGTTAGTTTTCTGGTCAAAATGGGATGTGGGCTGTATTTAAAAAATGTATGCTTTCTGACCAATGTTTTCTTTGAGACACTGAATGTTGATGACACTTACCAAAATAATAAATTGGTTTTAGCAATCATCACAACTTCCATCTGGAGGTACCCGAAGTGAAAAGCTTTGTCTATTCAAGCTATGCCAATGTGAATTTTGGTTTGGGCCTTTCCTTGGCTTTGTTTCCCAGGTAAATCCTGTTTGCGGTTCTGATGCTATCGCTGCCCCGATGGGTGGGAAATAGCTGCCAGACTAGCAAGTAGCTCAACCCTGTCAATTTACCAAGTAGATGGAAACAGAGCAGGGACTGGTGTAACTGTCTTTCACTGCCAAGTGTAATCCAGTTTTCTGACGGGCTCCTGGAGAGAATACTTAATGCTCCTGCAGCCTTTCCTTTCTTCCTCCCCTTCTGCGAAGGGCAAATGTCAATGATATCTCAGTTTATCTTGGTGTCCTCTGTCTGAACAAGATGGTAGCCTCTGACTTACTGGAATTTGCATCTGTGGATCTGGCAAACAGTTTCTGGACAGGTGCAAAGCAACGGGGTCTGGGAGGAGGACCTGCGGTGCATATGCTATTTCTAGACGCCGTGTGTTACATATAATCTGTAATGTGAACTGAAGGTAATGACACAGCACTGACATGAGAGATGATGAAATCCTCTAGACCATCCTCTGCCTTGGCAAGGTTGCTTGATCTGAAATGTTTCAAAGAGAAATGACTCCAGGAAAGCTATTAATTGTGTAAGGGATCGTGCTCTGTGACTTTAACGCCCTACTAATTTAAATATTAAACTCTAGGTGTTAATGTATCCTGAATATCTCACCCCATCAAGCTGCTGATGCACGAGGTAGGGTAACTCACCTTCTGGGCACAAGTCCTACCAGGTGGTTTTTTGGCTGACCCTGGTGAGCACACACCATGCAGGGTGGTTGTTGAGCCCAGGGAGCATTACAAACAGCCCAGGGGAAGGGGCTGGGGGCACATGAGGTGTGATGGCCTCGCTCCTCTGCAGCACAAAAAGCCAGGAAACAAATACAGGGACCTCTGTGCTACAATGACTAATATTCAGTGCTTAAGATCTCAAACTGTCCCCTTCATTTTGTTAAAAATGCAGCCACGCAAGGAATGAATGTTTACTAGTCACTTGCACATAACTGCTTTGTTTTGTCGTTCTTCATACTCAGTTTATAGCTGTTTGTATTCTGCATACCCATGCTCTTTCTTTCTTCTTTTTTTTTTTTCTCCAGAGTTCTCTTGCTATCCAGATTTTTCTTCTCCCCAGGGTATATCTATTTGTTTGGATGACTAACTTGCTTCTCCTGTACAGATCTGAATTTCTAAGTTGCTGATCCAAATCTCTCCAATGATAAGTCATTGTCCATCTGTTTGCTTCCTCCTGAGCTTGCAGTGAGCTGCAAAAAGGATCAATGTATATATAGTAAGCATGCAAGTTAGGATAGACAGATTTAGTAACAAACAGCCTTGTGTTTTGTTCTTTCCTTGTTCCTGTTGGTGTTTGATTTTTATTTTTTTCCTCTGTTGGTGTCTGTCTCTGTAACCTGGTCCCCTGGTTCTGTGCTTCTCTGTGGCAGTTAATGGGTGATGCTCCCCTGTGCATACAGCTCTGTCTGCTCAGGCTGCAGGGATGGTTAATGCCACTTCCCAGTTAGGATTTTCATTTAGTGCTGAAGGAGTGGCTGACTGACCCCATCACTAATAAGGGGCTTTGTTTTCCATCCCTCAGACAAAGGAAGTCAAGACATGGTGAAATTACACACACAACCACTTGTGAAGAGGGGTGCTTCCCATGTTCTAGTGATGGCTGGGCCATGCTGAAGGTGGTTTTCATTCAGGTGAGGTTCATTTCTGGGAGCTGCTTTCTTCCCTACCTGCAAAACAGGGCCAAGAAGAGCTCCTGTCTTCAGGAGTTTCTTTGTGAAGGAAGATCCAAGGTGAGCTGGTGTCTGGAGGGTGAGTGGCCTCCAAGAGAGGCCCTTGCTTCTCCTGTCTTTCTTGCCCAGCTGCTGTGACAGGGATTGTGACACATGAGATTAAGGAAAATGCATTGAACTTGTTGTGTTTTCTCAGATGTTTTGTAAAGCAGGGAAGACAAAAGAAACAGTACAGCTTGTACCTGTAGACAAACCTGTTACCATTAGGCAAATAGGGTAACTGTGCTCATCTTCAATGGAGAGCCGTGTCCAACAGAGTGCCCTGGGCTGGATACCAGCTCTCAAGGAGGCAGTCCCCTTTGCTGGGCTTATTTTCTCAGTATTTGTGCCTGGATGACCTTCTGAAGAAGGTTTTTCTGATTTCCCACTGTGGTGAAGACCCAGGTTCTATCCCTGGTTCTGGGCAACTTTGTCCCAAAGCTGCTGCTTAAGCCTGTACCTTACAAAGCCTTTCCCAGAGGTTGTATAGGAAACAAAAGCAGCAGGACCAAGGGCAAGCCAGGAACATTGCCTGCAAAACAAGGTAGCTGAGGTGTGCCTGTCTGCTGCATGTGGGGCTTAAGCAGGAGATTACATCTGCTGCGAGTTGTTTGTTGGTTTGCTTTAGGAACCAGTTAAATTTTTTAATTATCTGAACATGTGTTACCTGACAGAAAAAGCATAATTTGTTTCTGGATGATGGAATTTCTGAGCTATAAGCAGCTATTCAAGTGATACACCCATGCATACCATCACCCTGAAGTACTGAGATTTAATAGTTGCATTGCTGTTGTACACAGCCTCTTGTTTGTAGCACCTTCATCCGACTGCATCCTTGCAGGTTCATGCCTTGTATTTCTTAAATAGTTAATTAAAATGTTAAAATGCCATTTAAATAAGCGATGGATCATGGCCCTATTTGCATTTTGAACAGCTTTGTTTGGACTGATGCTAGCTGTGCTGCTGTATTTCACCTGGCTATTGCCGAGGCTGCCAGGGAAGGGGAGGGACAGCAGATGGCAATGTGGTGCCACAAAAGGACCAGCACATCGAGGAAATCCTCGTCTGGCCTACTGAGTGCCCTGAGAAATCAAGACGACAGATGCCGTGTAGGACCTTCCTTCCTCACGTTGGGGCCGTGGGGAGTTGGCTGGGGCTGTAGGGATAGAGGCCAGGTAGGGCCCTCTGCTTGCACCAGGCTGTGGTGAAGGTTGGCTTGGATTTATGCTCCAGAAACAGCACAAAAGGTAAAGCTTGTCCATGTGCAGCTCCCTGTGGAGGCTGTGTAAGTTTCAGGGCTCTTCCACCCTAGCTGAAGAAATGGGTGCTGAGGGCATGTGAGTATGGTGGCCACAAACCAGGGCCAGAAATTGCTCCTGAGCAATCTGCCTGGTCCAGAGGTCCAAAGGCATTAGCAGAAGTTATCGAATAAAAGAGATGGAAAATGATACCTGAATGGCAGTCTTGGCCCATCTGGTGGCAGAGAGAGACACTACAAGTAAAGTAATAAATGCTTTATTTGTAACGTAGTTTGGCTTTTTTTTTCCCCTCCTGGAAAGATGCTCTATGAAGTTATTGTGCTTTACATTCTTCAAGAAGAAACTTCAGACACTGAAGTTTGAAGCCACAGCAGTGGCTGCTTCCCAAACCCCAGGGCTGGGCTTGAAACCGGGCTTTTGTTTCTTGGACAAAAGTAATATTAATTAATATAGGAACTGTGTGATGTGGGAGCTGGGCTGGGGAGCAGGGAGGGACTGTGATGGGGAGGTGAGAGGAGGTCGGTTCCCTCCTGTAGGGTCTGTGCTGTTAGCTTCTGCTGTGTTGCTCAGCTTCGAGCAAGCATAAGTGATATTTCTGTTTAAAACACCTCTTATACTACAGACTTCTTTTCTCATTAGGCTATAATGTGAGGATTTCTTAAATGCTGTCAGCAACACTCACACCAGTCTAAGCTATTTTAGAATAGCAATAATTATTTTTCACTGGAAATATCTCTTACAGTAATGTTCTCTGAAATGTGCTGGAGCAGATGGGAATAAGAAGAGATGAACATATTGTTTTTTATTCAGCGTAACTTAATGGAAGTAGCCTTTAAAGTCAAATGGTTTAAAACTGATTTTTACACAGTTTATATGTATGAAAGAACAACTTCTGTCTCATCAGGACACCCAAATGACTAACACCAGCAAAATGTCTCATTGTGAGAGATTAAATAAATAGTATGGGCATAGAAGAGACAAAAGTGTTATTAACATCAGCGAGGAAATAAATTAAATCATGGTGAATAGGCTGAAGCCAGATGTGAGGATCAGTTACAATGAAGAAGGCGTTGAAGTATGCGTAGCATAACGCAGCTTGACCTTTACTGAGAGACCACCTCGACAAGGTAGCTGAGCTTTCTTCATCCCTGAGGTGGTTGTTTTACAGTATTTAATCACTGGCTTTCAAATGTCAAACAATTTTAGGGGGGAGAGGCAGCGCATGCCACTCAAGTTCTTAAAAACGGAGACTTGACCATGAGCAGTAGCTCGGCTCTGTGCTTCTGAGCCAGACTAATGTGCAGGTGAGGGGTGGGCAGAGGGCCTGGTGTGTCCCCCTGCATCCTTCTTTCAGATGCTTTGACAAGGATGTGCTGCTGATTGCTGTTGGGGTGGGCACACAGCTTGTTTGGGGGCTGTTGAGTGTTTTAGGTGGGAAGATGCCCCTGGAGGTCTTCAGCCCTCCACCCAGCTGAGGCAGGGTCAGCTTCAAAGCCATAGCAGCTTCATCTGGCTCCTGTGGTAGCACCTGAAAGAAGTTAATTAAGATGATGAGGGGAAATGAACTTTTTTCCCTTGCTTTCCTGTATGCTATTTGAGAGAAATTTAACCGTGATATGGGGAGGAATATCTTCATTGACTTTCATAGACAAATGCCTCTTTCAATTTAGGCTTTGACACTTGTTAAATATCCCAATGCAGCATCTTATCAACATTCTTGTTGTTTCCATAATATAACTAATAGCTGGCTGTTTGTACAGCATAACTACTCAATTCATACCTGCACTTCACATCAGTGCGCTAGGTTTTGGGGATAATAAATCTATCAAACAGGTGCAGTAACTGCTTGCCTTTAAGCTTAATAAGATTTATTCATGTGGATTTACTCTGTGCAAGTAGTAGTCACAGGCTCTATTGGCTGTAGCTTTGCTCTGTTATTGTATAAAGATACCAAGGCACAACAAATACCACTTGAAAGCAGAGGGCTGGAATATCACGGTCTCATGAAGATAGAACAGTATTTGCCATCTTTGGTGCATTGAATATTCAGCGCTGAATACGGCTCTGCTGTGAGGGTTACCCACTGGTGAATCCAGATGAGAGGAATTTGGGTGATGAAAATACTGAGGATAAAGAGATTGGAGGCGAAAAATGCTTGATAGATCTGCAGTTCTGGTTTTATGAAGAATTTATTTAAAAGCACTCTTCCAGAAACTACAGTTTAGACAGACTTTTTCATTGTGTAACTGGGGAAGTCTGCTGTGAATCTTGATAATACTGGGTGTACTGATCTTTGTCTGTGAGTGCAGTGTTCTCCCCAGGTCGTATTTGTTCCACTTTTGATGCTTACACGGGAATTAAGGGTAACTGCTCCTTGGCAGGAGGACAAAGAGCTTTGTGGATGGGAGAGGAAAGGAGTGCCCTGTTCTGCTGCGTGCACCTCTGAGCAGGCACATCCCAGTCTGTGGCGCTGGTACGGGCACATCCCAGCCTGTGCTACTGCTGCTGTGATCCAAGGTACCTGGCCAAAAGCTTCCTGGGAAGTTTTACAGTCCTGTAGGGTGTGTGACCCTGGCACCAACGTGAAAACTGTAGCCTATCTTTTTGCACCGGAGACAAAGTAAAGAAGAACAGAAATTTATTATTATTCCATCCCAGTCTTCATGCTCTCTGCTAGGAGGCACTCTGCTCTCCATGCCATTGGCTTCAGTGTGTAGTTTTTGAACCCAGCTCTTGCAGCCTGCCTTGCCCACTCTTCCCTCTGGGAGAAAGGGCTGTGCTGAGCTATTAATTCCAAGGCCTGTCCCACCAGACTGGCTCCCATGCCATTTAAAAACAGCAGAAAGTGTTTTGGGATCCAGCTATGCAAGGGGTTGACTACAGCCCAAATCCTGGCTCTTACTCCTGAATTAGGCTGTATAAAGAGAAATGGAGTTTCAACATTTATAACATAAACAATAATAATGAAAAAGTACCCGGAGCTATTAAAGCAGTAATCACAGTTACAAACAGCCATGCCACGGTCTCTCTTGCTATTTCAAAGTAAAACCATCCATTTGTTATTCACTGTTGTTATCTGTGTTTAACTCCAATTGAGTGGAAATAATTGTTATTTGTAGTTGACTCAGTCACTTTAAGGAAAATAACTTTAAAAAACGCATCTAAATATATTCTTTCACAGGCTCATAAAACCTTCCTTAAAACTTTAAAATAAACAAACACGTATGAGCTGCTTTTCCCTGTGGAGACCAAGTTCATCTGCAACACAATTAGAGTTACAGCATTTCCTGGCAGCCAAAAAGAGTAATCAAGAAGTAAAACTAGAAAGATCTAAGGCATAGAAAACATAATTTAAAACAAAAATAAAGCACTTGAGTGAAAAACAAACCTTACAATGAAAACAGTTTTTGGTAACAAACTGTCAGATCGGTCAAACAAGGTATCTAGTTAGCATAGCCTTATCTTTGTTTTATTTTGAGCTCAAAGTACAGGAATCTCAACAGTTCCAGCATCTGAAGCGAACCCGTGGATAACAGAAATAGTCCAAATTCAGTACAGAAAGCAGCACCTGGATTTTTTGGCTTTTGGGAGAGGTGTGCAGCCTGACATGGGGAATCCCCAGCCCTCGGTGCCTGTGCCAGCTGCTGACCTGCAGGCACTCCA